TGATCCTACTGATCTACCATACTCCAAGTTTGGGCTCCAGTACAGGCGCTAAAGTCGTCAGAATCGCCATGAATTTCGCCGCGCAAGTTGACGCGCGCGGCACGAATGTACACACACCCGCGGTAGTGCGCGTCAGATCGTGCGCAATCAGTGCAGTTACGATCTATTGCGGAACAGAATAACATCAGCTATCATGATTTGTAAGTACACAGCACAGTTATGATAGAATACCCTTCTCTCATCTTTTTCAGGTGCAAAATACATCCGACCCCACACTTATAGATAAAAAGAAAGCATATTTGATCTAGTCTAAGAAGTCTCACAGCGTCAGTACTCATCCTCACTCACGGGCTACAGTATTTCGATCCAGTCAGAAAGGTGGGTGGCAGGGGTTTTGCGGTGCTTAGCGTACCCTCCCTTCCAAAATAGTAATCTTTTCGTTTAATCGCGGGAGAGCTCACGATCGGGTGGACGAGCCCGTTGATGGGATAATTGGAGTTTGGCTCGCACTACGTTATTGAAGGAGGTGAGGTAGCGGTTCCAATACGGGCTAGCTTCCATGGTCGAAAGGGTCGACGAACGAGACACTATGAATTTCCTCGACTGGATAAGTATTCCGAAGTTATGAACAGCTACGATTCTATGTGTAAGTCGAATACCAGAATACAGATACATACAAGGTCTGGTTGCCGCCAGGGCATTCTTACTTATAGTTCTCAAACAACATCTTCACTCTATATTGTCTCACAAACTTCCCACTAGTCTTCTATAAGCAATTCTAGACATAACAAAGACTAGTTAATACCCCGAAACTTTTGGGCCTAATCAGCTGCTGGCTCATCTTTCATGCCTGGAACAGTGAACCAGACATTGGTGGTATCCCACATTCAAGGCTGCAGACTCAGTCGAGAAGGTGTTGAGCAGTAGAAGGGCACAGACGCGTAGAACTTTTCAATTTCTGGTAACCCGATGACAGGTATTCTGCGGACAATCCTGATTATTTGTAATACCTCAACAATGAGTTAAAGTCAATGCCATTCTGACGTAGACTCAAAGTCCTTCATTGTGAAAGGCCATTCCCATGGAAAAGCCAATTGCAGTTCTGTTAGTACTATAGCACTCACCTGTTGAACCTCCTTTTATGATTCTAGAGCAGTTAGCCTGCATATTTTCGCCCTAATTATATTTTATGATTGTACGCATTCAAAAGAATGCGTACATCCTTGGAAGGCCTTCGTCGATTCTTCCTTCCTGACATGGCTATTATTTCGTCTGACGCCATCATTTACTTCTGGCAAGAGATGTATCACAGTTGCGTCGTTCCATTCTCATACGTCTTAGAAGCCCCTAGATTGCTGGTTGATCTCCCAAGCTTGTTAGTACTGGCTGACACCATCCGGGAAGTGTGATTAATGGCATCATCTTAATTGACGTGACCCAAGCGATGCAGGCTATTCTAATTCTGGATTGGAACCTATATAACTGTGTATCTACGACTCCCCCGCTTCAGCCTTAAAAGAATAAGAAATTGGGTGCTGCTCAGGAGTGATCGATCAAAAATAACCGAAATTAAGTGAGTAAACAGCCGTGAGAGGACGGCTTCAGACACTTCGTTGGATGGGTACAGTTGTGGAAGCCAAAGATTCACAAGGACGTTGACTCTTGATCGGTATGAATTTAATCTATCGGTACTTTAGTTAGGGACAAATACCAGAACTTTCACACTTCAGAACGAGCTTAGTCATAGAGTAGCTAAAATTTTTGCGTATCAGAAGGCTGTGTTTGAGTGAGCGCTGGAACTCCTCAACGGTAGTCTACTTTGGGGTTAGATGCACCAGTGCATTCGACACCATTCGGAATCGTTGAATCACTTGAATGGGCTCTTCCCTATACGAAGAGTTGTGAAAGCTAGCCAATAAACTGCTCTACCCTTTCTACTTCTCGAACTAATCTGGGGCCATCTAAAAAGTATGAGCGGAAGAGAAGGATGATTCGACTTGGGAGATGTAATAGGGTTTGATCACTGAACATTTGTTGCTAGGGCGATACTCAGCACTGCTCCATAATAGTCCAATGGAGCAGATGAGGAGATCGTTAACAGCAATCGCCACTTTTTCCACTATCGCAAACTGGTATCATACGTAATTAGCTGAATAACTGAAGTTCTCAACAAACTTTCTCACAAACTTGTTCTGGGAGACTGAGAGAGACTTTCGCTTCGAAAGGCATTTAACTTCGACGCGAACTACCTTCTCTAGGGAAACCGCCGAACGAAGAACACCGTACAGCTCCTGCTCCCTGTGGTGAGATTTTCCCAAAAATCTCCGCCTAGAAAAAAAAACGACTGTCGTTGCCAATTATAATTATTGCTCAACAAAAAATTTTTATTATGTATTTGTAACTCCGTAAAGGTTCTACTCGTTATTTCTCGTGTACATGGTATATACTTTTGAATTTTTTTTTNTTTTTTTTTCTACAATTAATTTAATCAATCCTTCATCCTCGTATAGATCACTCTGGTATGTTCCAGAAAGCCGGTTTTTGGATGCGTTGCTGTCCGCATCTCTAGGACTTGTTCCATGTACCGGTCATCGTGACGGATAAACGTGCGACGTAACTAAAACAATAAAGTGAAGTAAGAGGTTTTTCCATCGTTCTCTTTTTTCCCCTCGGTAGGAAAAAGGAGCACGACTGAGCGAAGAAATTTTCATTAAAGATCGCTCACATCTCTCACGGGCAAGTCGCGTGAAAATGAAATTCGTCCGATATCTTTGAGTGTGAGAACGAGTTTATTGGGCACCACCGTTCCAACTTCATACGTAGTAAAGCCTGTAATCAATCTTCTCCAATTCATAGGCCACAGAGCTGACAATGAAAAACAATTACGAGGCTAATCCAATCCTATTCTATCGGACGTGCTGTAGTGATAAGCTATCAATGTAAGAAACAGGGATATTCCGATGTCCTCTATGTCTGAGCTGTCATGATGATCATACGAAACTGGATCTCCTTGGCCTCAGTTCGCTTCTTATACAGCCGCTCATCGCGCTTGTAGCCGGTTTAGATATGAATCGATAGTACAGGTCGTCAGTGATTTGAAAATTCGTGAAAGGAAAGAGGGACACCGAGGGGCAACAAAAAATGTCGTCGTGGTCGTTAGGAATTGATGCTTTCCCTTCGTCAGCACCCAGCACGCACGCTCGCAGAGATACATCCTTAAGCGATGTTCCCAAGCCGGATGATGAAATATATCCATCACGGCATGGGAGACGACATAAAAATTTCCAAGTGGGAAATTTCAATTTCGAGTTCTTTTAAAATAAGAGAGATTCAAAAGGAAGAACCAAGCTCAGAAAGCGCCAATGTCCCACTTCCCAATTCTTGGGACCCAGATTGATGGGGTACCTGGGATTTCCGTGAGAACTTTTCGGAGGGAGTGGACTACCAGGAACAGGACCAGGACAGTGGTATGAAGTACTAACCATTAATACAGTAAGTTATAATTATGTTAACTTCACAAAGAGGAACTTCATACGAGAAAATTGGGGAAAGATTCCAAATAGTTATTGAGTACTCACCGTTGTTTCCTGCAGTCATCAGCGTAACATTACCGTTACCATCGACAGTCATAAATCCCCATTCATCATGAAAATGATCCTTTGTTGAGTGAGACCATGCCCTTGCTCTAAAGAAAACGTCTCATTTATTAAATTTCACCTTCGAACAGGGCAATAACGGAATAAACTGTGAGTAGCCCTTGAAAATTCTCTTAACGGTAAGAACTCATACGTAATAAGAGATTTTCCTGAACGTTGGTTCTCAAGCTACAACATTTTCAGTTTTTTTGCGGCGCTATTGCTTTCTAGACGATGACGGGTATTGTTTTCAGTTTTACGAGAATGCTATAAGAGGTTTGATGATTGCTGAAATCACTAGCAGAAATGGAACACGAGAAGAAAATTGACAAATAAACCTACGAGAAATTGAGGAATTGCGTATTAGCTGATTTGGCTATAGGGGCTTCACCAATAAGTAATTCTTCGCCAAATGTCATCGTTGGAACTGTTGGCCAAAAAATCTGATGCAATAAACTTGAGCAAAACAGCATCAAATTAAAGAAAAAAAAAGAGAGTTTGCAAGAAATGATAACTTACTTTCCCGGAAAATTCGGATCGCCATTTGCCAAGAATCCATTCAAGTTTTCGATTATTATTATTTAGTACTTGATCAGAGAATTGCACTAGAATAATGACGAGGATGATGAACAAGTCGTCTGAGAGTCGAACCATCACCAAGTGCGAAGCGAACGCAAGACGAAACCGGTCCGAACCGCCCATCGAAAACCGCTCTCTCTCTGTGTATCTCTCTGATGTTCTGATTTTCTTCTTCTATCTACGTATTTCCCATCAGCAGCTTTGCCATAACCATACCCCATCCGTGATAACCTTGCATTCACTCTGTGTCTATCATATAAATTATTGAAATAAATTTCTATCTATCAATCAAATTACGGAACGATTTAAACAAAAATTCCATTCTGAAACGCCAATATGACTGTAAAGGTTGGAGGACAACGACGGTTATTTGACGTCCTTCAGCTCGGCTTTGGCACGCGCCCCGTATTCGACTTGCTTCAAGCATCATAGCAGCGATTGGGCTCCTATTCGGTCTCTACACTGATCTAAGCTGTCCAGCCAATGTGAGAATCAGTACTTTCACCTTTTCAGATGAGTTTGCTACCCACACATCACTTAACAAGGAGATAAAAGACTTAATTGGTCTGGGTTTTTACTGATCCGCGATTAGGTCCTCAGAGCTAATGTGTGGTAGTGTATAAACCTGCATTCCTATCCTAATATGGAACCAAAATGAAACAATCCTTTCCTGGGATGTCACAAAGTGGCGAATTTGGAAGAATCTACATCATCAGCACAATAGCCAAGGGTATTACGATACGATATTCTAAACAGACATTAGACTCGAATGTGATGCAAAATAAAGAGGGGCAGACTAAGGTCTAGGCTCTCTGAAGGAACCTTAGAATCGAGTTAGCGCTTTTCGGTCCTGAAAACCCTCCCTTCTTACGCTGCTCAGTGCTATTCAACTCTTTGTTACAGCACTTTTCTATCAGATCCTATAAAAAGGATCCCTGCAAAAACTGTATTTACGTGCACCAGTAACTGCAGTTTGACGCAACCTAGCCCACTTCTCCAGGTGAGGCTTCCTTTTCACGTTACGCTCAGCATAACTTGTTTCCCAACTGCGCATAGAATGGCTTGATAATTACCCAGCAACATAAGATGCAGCCCCAGTCAACTGACTGGTTGAGTTTCTTCTGTTGGGTGAATCAGCAAGCACTATTCATGACCATCGAGAGAAACTCTTGATGGAGGAGCCATTTATAATTTTCTGTTGTGTCTCCTATCACAGTCAGAATCCCTTTGCGCTTATAACCGATACTTCACGGTGTCTGCCATTGACGGATGTATCTTTTCAACGTCGGAGTCGTTCTTTTTGAGTAGAATCCGAAGAATGCTATCGCGTTTGACATTTTTTGAATGTTGAATGAACTGGGCGTGGCGTATGGGCAACATTCACCACTCCTGAGCATCTCTGCCTGGCTCGCTAAGGATAACTTTGTGATAATAAATATTCTGTACGTTTCCGGATGGCTCAAAGCACATAGCTAGTAATCATATAAAACATATTTGAGGGCAGGTGATATGATGCCAGGTCTTCCGTTGAAACAAAGAAACCATAGCCCATAGGGTGTTAGGTTAGGACTCCTGTTGGAAGGAGGACATTACAGCTAACCGGCACATACATTGGTGACTCTACTCGCGACTCCCACTGCAATTATCAGCACTTATCATCGATCCCGTTCATCCCTTGCAAATTCGTTATATAAATCTTGGAGTATCATACAGGTTCAATACGTCATTGCTAACTGTTTGGTTTTCAGGTTGATTGAGTTATGCTTTTGATGGTACTCCGCTGTATACTTAATAAATAAATAAGTAAATAAGTATGCAAACAAACAAGTCTTTTGGCTTTCCGGTGAAATGAACTTAGATATTGTCGGGATAATCCTGCACGGTTACCCCCAGGCGAAACAGCAACACATCTTCGAACCGCCCGTTATAACTGTAAGAATAAGATGAGCGCTTGGGACAAAAACAACTACACAACTACAAACCTTTAGCTCTTCGGTGTGCAACCACGTCCTTTTGGAGCGGATGGTAGTAGGGGTGCTCGAACATTTACACCAAGGGAAATATAACAAATGAGTTGTTCAACAACAATTTATACGTCACAAAAGACTGCATATGATACTGGCATTGAAATCTTTTAAACGGAAAGAATCCAAAATAATGAAATCTACAGGAGCTGTGATGAAATAATGGATAAATGTAAGTTGAATCAACTTCACTGAATACCTTTTGCATCCAAGAGAGGGTTTCCACATACGACGCAACATGCCCTACCGGCTCATGTTATCCTGCCTCTTGGATATAAAAGTGATAGAGCATCGACACTAGAAATCGTCTCAATCTACAGAGCGAATTGTTCGAGAATGAGCCCAAGGATTCTGAAAAATCATGAAGCACGATTTCCGCACTCTAATAGGAAATCAGAGATTCCTTTGTTGAGTTTTAGCTGACATTTCAGAAGTCCGCACCAAGAGTTGTTCCGAATGGAAAGGATCTCCAAACACGAACGGCTTCGTCACCAAACGTCAGACTGTGCTTTCAAATCAAGAGAGTCAATACAGGATTTTCTACACATTATTTGAAGGGAGATGATGTTATGAAGCCTGTCTTCGGAAGAGGAGGCCGATTTCCGCTTATCGCGGAAAAGGCATGAAGAACTATTATATGTTCCACTCAGCCACGCATTTTGGGTCCCAACTAAAGCCATAGCCCTGTATGAATGCACATTTTCTCTACAAACAAATGCTGGTCGTATTCGACGAGCTTGGTACTAGTTGACCGACGACATCCGTCAGAAGAAGTAGGGTGGCATGGGTCGCTCCCAATTCCACTGGAATGAGGGCAATATAGTCGACGGGAGCGGTTAGCTTCTTATGCTCAACTCACCTCTGATTCTGTTCGCGGGTCTTTTTATGGTCATTTTAACTTATTTTCCTAGGAATTTGCTATCACAGCATCACTTAGGCCTTTAGGCCCATAGGTCAAATGCTCATCGCTTAATGCTTGTTTGTGTGCCAAATGATTTATTGTTTTGGCGAACTCCTTTAGCATACCCTGCTACACTTAGAGCTGAACTACTTTAGCCAAACGAGTAAAATATATAAAGAATATGTGATACAGCTGAGAGGTCGTCCTTCCTCTCAATGTAGGCTTGCCGCTCCCTTCTCCAAATTGCTAGGGCCTAACCCCAAGCTGTAGAGTTGGAATTGCAACACAACAAAGACTTCAGACAGAGTAATTATATTGAATCGACGATACCAAGAACGGTAGTTGGTTAGTAATTGGAAAACAGTTGTGTAGCAGTGGCGGAATGGCTAGGTCAGTATATGATCGTGTAGATATACGTATTGTGAAGTGATAGCAAAGCAGTCTCCAGACGGCCAGCTAAGAATTAAGCAGTCAAAAAAAAATGCCTTCGACGTTGTTCATCCCTTTTGTTTTAGCTACAAAATCTGAACCCGACAGCTACTTCCGATGGCACAGTGGTACGGTTTACGTTTGGACCTGTCCTCTGGCTAAGAATACCGACCGGCTACAAAGAAGGTTCAGAAGCTGAAGCATAGCAAAGGTGTCGAAGAATCAAAGACTTAAAACAAACAACATAATCTTTCCTAGCATTGAACGACCTTGTAATCAAGCTGTTTCTATTCTCAATAAAACTCCTTTCGAGGTTTTTTTGCAGAACAACGGTCAGTATCCTTGAAAACTGTTTAATGTCACCAACAATCTCTTCTTGAAATCAGTGTTACCTTCACGAACACTTTACTTACAAGTTTTCTAAAGTGTCTGTCAATCGAGGCAACAATTGGGTCATGAACACTCTTTGTAAAACTATATATCTAACAGCGGTGAACAGTGAAGCGTGTAGAAAGCAGAGTCCCTCATGGCTCTTGTCTTCGTGAGTTTTGATTTCTTTTTATTTATTCTTATGTTTTATACTCTTTTTTCCGCCATCTATGGCTACAGCGATTTCGAATACGCGAGACGAATCTCACTTTAGTAAGTCGGAAGCTGAGTGATTTTCATAATTCAGGAAGAATAATTTTTTTT